ATATATGATTCGATTTAAGCTGATACTATAATTTTACGGGCTACTAATCCTTAGAATAATATTGTCTCCATGCCTTTGGGCCCTCAATGGTTCCAAAGCCGGGCCCTGTTGACCTCTACCCCGTTGAGGCTCAACAGAACTCAGATCTTCCCCAGTAGGCCACCCCGCGCTTAACGAGTGTTGACGTTTGCCCGCGACAAGCCAGAAGACTGGTAAGAAGCGACATTTCGGCTCAATGAACCTTGACGCGCCTTGCGCAGGGAGCAACCAGTCCGAAGGTGACGAATGTCTCCACAGACAATACACCGTCGGGTGTTCGAACGCTGCTCGGCAGCTCAGATCTCTGCCTCCTCGTGATCAGCACAGCTGAGATTCATCGGCTCAGGCCCACTCTACGAGCTGCTAGAGTATGCATTCCAACCAAGTCGTGCCGACTTAAAGTTGAATTCGGCATTCAATGCCATATTCTCTGTTTTTATTAAAAAAAGACGGATGTACACGGAAGTCTTCCATTCTGGCCACGCCAGTGCGAAGGCCTCCATAAAGACGGTCACTGTGTCCGCCTCGGGAAGAAGATCGGCTGTCATACTGGCATTAGTAGTACGCAAAAAAGTCCACCAATTTCTTCTTGCCCTGTTAGGTGGCAAAGAAACGCGACCGCACGCGATGTACCAGGTTAGGCAGCGAGAACACTCGTGAAAGCTGCAGCTTCATCTCCGTTCAGGAGGGAACGCCGCTTCGACCTAAGTGCCGCACGTCAGTGACCATTTTCAAGCTCGGCTCCAATGCTTGGAGACAGCTAGTGCCACGCGTTGTTGCCCTGTCTGGACCATGGCGGACGCCATGGTCATTCTGACCTCTCTCACCCAGAGCAGAAGATTTTTTCCATCCTTGCCCCCGAAGTTCTTTACACTCACTCTGAGCGGCTTAGGTCGGGGGAAGTCAACCGTCGACGACGATGGCGTTATGAACGCAGTCGACGCCAACATCTTCTGCTATAGAAGCTTCTGCAGAGCATTTTCATAGCTTAAAAACGCCTCTAGGCGCGCGCTGATCGCTTCAGGTTGCGAAGCTAGGTGTTGCACGCCCTCAGGGCCAAAAAGAGACATATGTTTTATTAGTTCGTCCTGCATGCCCTGGGGCAAATGCGTGAACTGTTCCATCCTCACAGAAGGGCAGTCGTAACGACTCAGGTGTAGATTGACTACAAGTGCTAAAAGTGCAGCGGGGGCTGCTGTAGCTCTTAACTTAGAGGAAGCTTGGTCAAGGTCGGTGACCTTCGATCTATACTCAGCACCAGTACGAGTGTAGCGAATCGCAAATCACTTACTCCAGGAGTAACGTCAACCTTAGCCCAAGGCTAATCAATTCTTTCGTTTAAAAAGAAACTGTAATTCATGGTTCTATTTGCGGCGAAGCCAATATCTAAATATAAAGATTTTCATATCTATATAGCAAGCGTATTTAAATGCATAGCTACTTGCTGCTCCAGCCACGTACTGACTTCTTGTTTAAGTGTAGCCACACCAATATGTGATCACACCATCTTCTCTGACCAATACCCGTCATGTAAGGCACAAGAAAACCCGCTACATAAAGTTAGCGCTTGACATCATAGAAATCATTCATCACATATAGCCAAATCAGAAAACATATACACAAACTGAATTGCAAAAACAGCATTTTAATTGGCACAAAAACATGTCTACACTTCATCGAGGTCATCCAGCTCATTAGCCAAACATTGATGGCATGAGTGCAAAGTCGGACTTCGTATTGGTTGAAAGGAGTAAGCAGGAAAAAAAATGTGGGTAACAAGGAACACTTGGTGAGCGCCGGAGAGGCTAGTAACAATTCAGGAGGTCGACACCAGCAGCCAGGTGATGGGTACATTGTTAGTGCCAGTAGTTCTATTGCATTATATTTTATTTCATTTTGAGTACGTTGTGTGAAGTTTCTAACAAAGATAATACATTTCATTTCATTTATAACCTAATCAGTACTTATTTTAGTGATTTGATGATTCTTGTAATTGATAGTTCGATTAAGGTATCACCGTAATTTCTTTATTTTTTAATAAATGCTATTCACGACCCGGTGTGTATTGATACAAATCGAGAACCAAATAGAACTCTACATAGTTCAATAATGCCAATGTTTTGATACGCTTTTTCTATAATTAGTTTAGTATAATAACATGAGTCTCGTGGTGTATGTATAATCATCGCTCAATTATTTCTGCAAGTCAAATAAAGTTTTCAGATGGATCTTGATGTAAGCCTCAAACCTGAAGTTATAATATATCCATATAAAAAACATACTTACAAAGTGAGCTGCAAATACAGCATTTTCATTGACTCAAAGACATGTCTACACTTCATCGAATTCATCCATTTGATAAGCCAAAATATGATGGTGTGGTTGCAAAAGCGGGCTTCGTATTGGCTACTTAGAGTAAGGCTTCGTGCTATTCTTTGGACGACCACGCTTCTTTGAGAATGGAAGTGGTTGATGACGCTCAAATCTATGCAGGTCGCCCTTGATCACGTATGGACTAATCTTGACGACTGGGTCACACGCGCGTCGATATACATTGATCGTCCACTAGTCATAAATAAACGACAGAGAAGGGCTGGTTTAGCTGACTGGCTTAAATACAGCAACGATATGGAAGCATGAAGCCATCATGTACTGAAGATAGCCGCACGAGCACGGCGCCATTCGGTTGTCGAAATCGGTAGCGTACTCGACGGGTACCCCGCCGTCCTTGTAGACTGTTGCAACAAACATTATCGAGTATGACGGTAATATCTTGATTTTTGCCACGACACCACTTTGTCGCTTGGGGACAAACATTTTTGAGCAAATCAATGTGAGATGGTTCAACGACGAGCTCCATACAATAAAGTCGACCCATCTTGATCCGAGGTATCTCTCCACATCAATGATACAGTCCAACAGCGTTTTGTCACGCGCGACAAGTAGGACATTGTTCGTCGACTCAACACTGTTGCTGGTCGTGGTACCGAATCTTGCGCATCGACTATGCCTCCAGGCCTCTCGCTCACTGCTGTACACTGCACATAGAGAGAATTGACTGTACAAGTCTGGTATATATCGCACAGCAGACGGGCTCGTACACTTCACCAGGGGGCAGAATTTGTGGCATGAAAGTGAATGATGTCGTGAGTTTATACATATTTGTCAGGCACATTTTTCTCAAATCATATGGGTTTATTGGTTATTTTTTTTCTTGAAGCCAATAAACTCCAAAAGCTTTTTAATAATCTACATCATCAATTCAACTATCCTGATGTTCTTCCTCATCAGAACAGCCATTATTAGAAACCTGCGGTAGCTCCCAGACCTGAGGAGCGTTGGTCTTGATGAAAATTGACTGTGTAACACTATCGTTTTTCACTGAATTCCGGATGAATAAGTCCAGCAGTTGAGGAGTATTTTTCAGATGCGGCGGTTGATGCAACCAAACTAAAAAACTCTGAGGGCAATATTCTGAAGTAAAGGGTATCGAATTCCACCGATCAGCCAGTATGGGAGAACAGTCTTAGATTGCTTCAACAACAGTTTGAACGGTTGGTCGTTTCCCTCACGGTCCATATATGTGTTGACCAGACATTGGACGTATTCAGTATATATTGCCTCATGTGCTTCGTCTTCAACTGAATCAAACAAAGAGTCTTCAACAGCTTTCTTCTCTTTCATGGTCATTGTATCTCCCAGTTAGCGTGGATCCAGAATATATGCTATTCCCATCCCGCTGTCGTACCAGAAATCATGTGGCGTTTGGACCAATTGCAGTAGATATATCTTCTCCCCATGTTAAACATCCAAATAGTTGCAAATTGTCGAATTCAATGCACAGTAATCTTCAAAAACAGGTACCGAATCTTTCTGGAATATGATAATTGCTTTGTTAATTTGCTCTGGGATTCCAAGACAAGATAACACTAGAAGTTTGCGTCGGTAATGATATCAAACTCCTCGGCTGTACCGGCATTAAAATCTCGACCTGCAACAATACTGTAGAGAATAGTTTTTTTAGGCTGACGAAGCAGTCCTGCAGGCTGCCCCATCTTGTGGCGGCAGGTTGAATCAATACCGGTACTTGCTTACGTTTTGTTCTTTTACAATCTTTGCCTTGATTTGGTGCAAATGCGAGCAATACTCGAATGGATAACCGTCGGGATATTCTGCGACAGCTCTTCCTCGCTTGACTTTGGTGGCTGCAAAACCGTCCTCCACAAGTAAATACAGATCTTGGATCACACATCCTTAAAAGAACATCTCAGATATTGTGACTGCAACAATTTTCATGTCAATTTGTTAGTGGCAGTATTATATGATTCCGCTCTACAAATTGAAAGACCAAGAATTCTTTGGATTTCAATAACACGGCTAGGATTTTCAGCAATGATTTGAGCCTTATGGTCCTACTCTGGCGTACAGAAAATCTCCAGAAACAATGACATGCCGCCGCCTATTAAAATATAATTTAAAATTGGTTCTGCCTTTACGTATGACCACCCATCTGTAATCACAAATATTGTGTTGAAAGCATGCAACTGATGCGAACTTGCGAGCTAACCATTTCGAAGCGGTTCGGCAGCAAAGGGCCAGCAACTTTTTTCCGATCAGGGAGAACCACATCTGGACGGCATAGTCGAAACGCTTTTCGTAACTTTTTATCCTCAATGCGCTGGATAGATGATTTACTGATACAACACGTTCCGATTCAAGTCGATAGGTGACGCAAGCTTTGCAGTGTTTACAGGTAGCAGACTTGCTTTGTGTGTTTGTAAGGAATAAGTAAACAAACTCCAAACGTCATCAACTTTTCTTTCTCCTCGTTTCTTAGTAGGTACTGCTGCAGCATCTACGCAAACCCAGCAAGATCAACGGTGGAACCGTAAAGGGTAAGATCGACGGAGACATCAGCTTGGTCGGAGTCTGTCATTGGTCACGCTGTCGAGCGAGTACTAGACTACCAAGCCACTATGATGATGGCAAAAACACAGGAACGAGAAAAATCGAGATTTTAGAGTCCGCGACGGACCTGCGTTTGCCTTGGAATCGGTCTGTGTCTCATAAAAGCCTAAAAATCCAGATTCTCATAAACATTAGAATTGAATTATTGTGATGAAACCCCTAGAATCCAAATCAGAAGAACTCAACCTTCGCCACCCCTGCTATTTGCATTTGGAACTGCTCGAAACAGATTATACTCTAGAACATTTGTGAAAAGATGTTCTTACATCTGATTAGATGATATAGATGGAAGTTTCATAAAAGAAAAAAAGGACAAAACTTTTGTGCAGTTGCCTTTATGATAATTTTTACATTTGTCATTTTGACAAATGCCCACAAGTCTTCTCCTTGGTCGAGACAGCGCAAGCAAGTAACAGGATGTCGGTCCAAATTCAGACAGTATATTCAGAAACAATTCTATTCAATATATCCCCTTTACTTTCTACATTAATAAGCATTACGTAATATACAGCGGGTGGCTAGCCGCCTGTGCCCCATGGGGCTTCTTTTCAGACCCCCCCCTTGCAATCATCTTAAGGTACGTTACTCCATTACTTCTGGGCTTAGCTTTTAGTTTGAGATACAATACTAAGATGTGAGCACACATCATGATAGCGGTCGAACTTAATGACACCTCCCTTCATCGAAGAGAAACAACACTAGGATCACAATAATTTTGCCTACAGGTCAATGCGCTAAAGTGAACGCCGTTTGTGCACCCACTGCACCAAAAGTTAGTCTCCGCTCATTGCACATTCTAATGCCAGGCCACACGAAACTTTTCCCGACTGGAGTCTTTTCCGCGCCCCGCTTGCATAGCTCAATTGGGCATAAAGGAAGACGCGGTCTTACGGCTGATCCATGCTTGTTGATGCAGCCGAGGTGGTGCAGAAGGGCTGCTGCGCTCCTTGCACTGAAGTGACTTTGTAACGGGGTTATGCGTACCCTTCTATGAAAGGGCTGGTCGCACAAGTTCGTGCGACCGTAAAAAGGTGTGGTTTGCACAAGTTGGTGTCATCACACAGTGGTGTGGCTACACCGTAACAAGGAGCCACCACATGGCAGGATTGCCTGTGGTGATGAATATATTAGGTTTAACTATTACTTAGGTATCACTATATTAATGAGGAAAACCTAGGATTTTAGATATTGGCGACTCTGCCGCATCTTAAACAATGAAATACGGTTCCAATTCTGAACAGAAGTGTTTGTTTGCCTTGGTTAAGGTTTTTGGTACTTGAAAGTAGCAGATTGCGATCCGCTACACTCGTACTGATTCTTGTAAAAAAAGTAAGGTCGGTGATCTTAACTTAGCTTCCTGTAAGCAAAGCGCTACGGAAGCCCCGCTGCACTTCCTAGCACTCGTAGTAAAACTATGCCTGAGTCGTTACGACTGGTGTGAGGACGGAGGAATACTCAAACTTACCCCAGGGCATACAGGACGGGCATAATATACTGATGCCCCTGCTGGGCCCTGAGAGTGTGGAGCACCTTGTGCGCAAGGGCCCGATGTCATAAGGGCGCGCCTAGAGGCGTTTAGAAACTATGATGGGGCACTAACCGAAGAAACTATCACCGTCGACTGCGTCTATGTTGCTACCGTCGATTCCTTTCGACCCAGGCCGCTCATACTGAGCGTTAAGATTCTCGAGGGTAAGGATGGAGAGAATCTCTTGCTCTGTCGGGGGCCGAGCGCGAGAATGGGAATCAGCGTGCGGTGCTTCGGTTGCAGCGTTCCCCTCATGGAAGGAACAAAGGCGTCAGCTTCTCAAGTGTCCTTGCCGCCTGATCAGGCATATCGCGTGCGATCGCTGCCCGACAGGGCAATTAGGAGTTGGTGGACTTTGTTCAAGAGAGAACCCTCATTACCGGGATGGTAGCAGATCCTCTACCCGAGGTGGGCGCAGTGACCATCTTTATAAAGG